TCCGGTACAAGAGATAGTATTTTTTTATTTGTATGAAATAGTAAAGGTTAAATGTTAGTAATTATTTTTATTATAGTGTTATTGAACAATATTAATTTAAATATTAGTATTATTTTTACATAGTGCATATTTAACATTACGAAATAGTGAGTTGTTATTAACGAGTTTTTTAAAGTATACGATCTGCAAGTACAATACAATATATGAATTTTAAACATTGTTCGGAACTATTACTTTTACTTTCTCGGCTGTTACGTATATATAACAAGGGAAATTAATGGAATCGTGTCAAATGTGACCCTCCGAGTTTTTTGCAATTTTTCACGTTTCGAGACTTCCTGAAGCCAAAAACCACAAAAAATTTCGTGGATATGTGTTTGTACGTGTGTTGTCGTCTATTCCACTTAAAATNTATAAATTAGGTACTGTACATATATATATTAACTTAATTTATTGTAACTTTATTATAATTATATGTATATATTTTCTGCCGTCCGGCGCCACGCTACGGAGAGTTTAGGCGAGTAAGTCGAGTTTACTATCGTCTGTACTGTATGTAAATTAGGTACCGTAAGTCTAATACAGCAGTGAAATTTTATACATTTCTTGTGAAAGAAACATTTCTTGTTCAACGGACATAAAAATTATTTCTATTAATTAATGATGTCTTCAAAGGTCAACTAATTTTTCGCAGAAAAATAATTTATCAGAAATCGCGGCCGCCATTTGGTGCGCTGCTCCGCGACAAAACAAGCGTAAGCAACGGCGTAGTCGAACGGTGCACATTCGGTAAGTAATCCTACAATTTTTTGCTTATAGCATAGTTTATACGGATTATTCCCCAAAAAATTATACGTGTTTTGGAAATGTCGAGTCGAATTAGTCTAGAATCGGTTAATTTTATAGAAGAAAACCTTTCAAACAGCCGTAGACCCTAAACTTCACACGTGTCGGGCTGCGATTGGCTCACGTATTTAAGGATTCCTACAACGTAAAATTCTTATAAAGTGGAACGTATCTAAGCGTTATAGGGGGTCTACTGTATTTAAACGAGGCTTAATTTTCTAATTTTTAACGATACAATAGCGACGATTATTATTTTTAAAAAAAATTTGATAGGCTTAACATGGAGGAAAATTCAACGCGAAGTAGGTTAATAGCGATATACTAATATACTACACTAATAATGGATTTTTTCATACTTTTCAGTTATCCAACTTTTCAATTATTCGACCAACCCCAGTCTTTAATTGAGTCGGATAATCGATGTTCTACTGTAATGTCTTTATTTTTCGCGATTGTCGATATCGTCGTTCTCGGAATACGGTACGCAACAGTTAAATCTCGAACACGCGTGCTACCTTCGTATTTCTCATCAATCTGTTTTTTCAGTTCCATCGTGATTCTAGTCATTTTTTTACTTTTCTGTTGCCTTTTTGCAATTCGTGATTAATAAAAATAATAACATTTTACTTACAAATTAAAATAAAAAGAAATTTAACAGTCATAAACCGTGGTACCGCGAACGTCTAGTCTGGTCTAGTACGCGATAGTGCTACTTGTTCGCAGATGGCGCGTACAATTGAATTAAGTTGTATACCGAGCAAAATTTGTTTCGTCCAAACAGGACGTATTCTAAAGCAGACGTACCCCCTATAATTACGGTCCCTATAATTACGATTCCTATAAAACTACGAAAAAATTGCGACGGTATCCGTAAAAAAACGGTAAAAAACTCCTATAATTACGTGAAACGTCATCGGGCAGCCAAACTATTTTCCGCCGTCAAGTGCCACGCTACCGAGAAATTACTATCGTCTGGACAGTATTATATATAAATTAGGTACTGTACATATACAGTAGAACCTCGATTATCCGGACTAATTGGGGATGAAGGTAGTCCGGATAAGGAAAAATCCGGATAATCGAAACAAATACTTTAATTTGTCTTTTAATGATAATACAACACGTTTTCTTTTCGATGACATATCGGTAATATTAAAAGTAAATACTGTATTTAAATC